CTGTGTTTTAAGACGGATTGCACCGGCATTGTCGTTTCGGCGAAGAGAATCCTCCTACTCCCATAAGACGCCGTGTAAAGTAGGCGAGTTTTATTCGGAAACGGCGTCACTGCGCACGTTACCGGATCGGTCGATGAATCAAAATGGAAAAGAACTCGCCTGTTATACACGTCCGCTGAGAAAAATTGCAAAGTTGACACGGGCTGCGATGAAACTTTTACGACTTTCGGTGAGAGAGACGCCCATGGGACAGGACAAATATTAAAATAAAATGGCTTCGTTTTTGCTCACCGTACCAGGACAACCCATCTGATAAAGTTGCAATGAATAGTTCATGTTGACGTCAGCGTTCCCACATCATTACTTTGCGATAAAAATTATACTGTTACCTTGGTTTACGGTGATACTTATGGTTTGCACTATAGTTGCCAGGCAGAGATAAGAAAGGAACAGGGCATAAATAGCAGAAAACTCAGTCAAAATGAGTAGAGTTGGGAATAATTGTTTCAGATGTAGTATCGATCGATTAAAATTTCGATTAAAACTTAAATAATTTTGAACTTGAAACACGTATGAACAAGTTGATTCTGACGTCTTTAAAAGACCCCTGTCGTACTTTTTGTTACTTTGAAAGAATAACAAACTATCACAATCGCGTACAATTTTCACAGAATAGTTTGGAACGGATAGAGGAAATCATATAAACGATTAATGAAATAGTGTACGTCCTTTCAAAAATAAGGTATAATTGATGACAACACCCATCGATATATTTTTTACCTTTCGTCATCGAAATGAATTTTCTGATCCGAAAACTTGGACAGAAAGAATCCACGAAACAACTGCAAATGTCAGGAGTTTTGTGCTGTAACCAACTGCACACTCCTCAAACAAAGTTAACAAGTCCAACATTCTGATCATACAGAAGTTGACAACAGTTTTTTCGACTCAATAAATTAGCTGAATGAAAGCCGAATGCGATTTCTTGTCGCAGGTCTAGGCCATACAGCCATGTACTTCCCACAATATTTGTGACACTCGATACTGCAATAAATCGTATTTTATTTGATACTGTAACATAAATACAAGAGAAGGATAATTTTATGAAGAGTATTGTTAAAGAACCACGCCGTGCATGTGAGGTCATATTTCAACTTTTCATCCATTTCCTGTCCTTCCCTTCCTTATTCCCTTGAGTTTACATTGAAATCCATCAACCGTACTTTGGAATATATATAAAAAAAATATTTTTGACTCTAATTATAATTTTTGGGACTTCCTGGCATTGATTTTCCCGCAAAATGGTCTGGACCCAGCTTTATTTCTCCACCTTGTTACATACAGTATTCGAGCCACTTTTTAGTGTTTTTTTTTCCTTCTTCGTAAAAGATTAGGCCAAATTTTTGAACCTACTTGTGGGAATCGTCATACCATTTTGCGGAAACATATACACTAGAAAAAAAAGAAAAAAAACACATTGGATCTAGAGTCCAGACTCTTAAAAACATCGACAAGAAAAAATACTCTTGATTCAATCAGATTTAAGCTTAAATCAAGAACCAAGCCTCTTAATTTGAGCGGATTTTCTTTTAATTTAAGCTTAAATCTGATTGAATCAAGAGTCCTTTTTCTTATCAATGTGTTCAAGAGTCTGGACTCTAGATCTAATGTGATTTTTTCCAGTGATAAGTCCAAAAACTTTCACCGAAATGATGTCAAAGAAAAGCGGAGGTGTAGTAAAAAGAGACCTAGTGACCGGTGATAAGCACATCGGGAGCGATAAGAAACATCGCGAGGCGACCGGACAAGAGAAGACAGCGCAAAAGCCGAGGGTCGGGGGGGGGGGGGGGGGGGGGGGGGGGTGGAAGGGCTTTGACGGGATCCGGGGTCAACTATCGGGCTAAAAATCGCGGGCAACAAATTGTAACAATAGGAAGTAGCTGATTTACAGGGCTCGCTCAACAGAGACGTATTTGTACGAGGCACCGGCCGGGGCAGCTCCATCGGCTGTAAATAATACATAACAAGGATAGGAGACAACCACAACCGCAAACCACGCTAGGAATAATAAAAAATAATATAATGACGAAGATTGGTGTAATGGGCACGGCTGCGTCAGCACCACTCGATGTTCGATATTTTTGCAGGGGGAACATTGGGTTCCGGCGTGAGGGATCGATCGATCTATCGAGCGGGCTAAGGAAGGGCTCGCCTGGCAGGAAGGGAGAGGTGATGTTGATTCACGAGTGTAGACAAACCAATGTGCACAAGCCTACTAGAGATTGTTGCCAGGTTCATAGGATGAACATACTCCTGGGATCTACTTGAACTTATACATGTGGTTTAGAGGAAGCCTATAATTTAGACGTTGTTTACTGTTCTCCTTAAATCGACGGGATAGGCAACACAAGTTTACGGAGGTTTGAATGGTGGTATCGAGTGAATTTCACTTATCATTTGTCAGAATTAAGAATTGACGGCAGTAATAAATCCATAGATGCGCCTTCCCACTAAACTTACGTCTACATTTAAGAAGTTGGACAGAATATAACTTTTCAGCTGGCTCGCGAGGAAACACTCTGCTTGAAATGAACTGTGTACTTGACTGATTTCGGTGCGTTTTTTAATCAGAAGGAAGTTTCAGAGTAATGATTATTATTTGTTCACATGTTAAAAAACTTGGTACATTAAAGAGGGGAGTTAAGCGATGGTGGGGTGAGCTTTACGATGTATTAATTGGTATGATATTCAAACCTATGAAAAAAGATCAATTATATGTATTAGGACGTTCGCAACGAACACTATAATCATCGATTCAGTGCCATTGCTTCAAATGGTACAAAATCGATAGTCAATTATCACGCCTCACATGTTAGACAACGGTAGAAGAAGTGAGAGAAGGAGAGAAGGAGAAGAAGAAAAGAAGGAGAGAAAGACAAATGGTAAGAAAAGAAAATAGGAGCAGAAAAAAGAGGAGAAGGAGATGGAGAGAAAGAGAAAAAAATAGGAAAGATAAGAGGGGGAAAAAGAAACTTGAAGGGAAAAATATGGATCAGAGGTAGTAAGGAGGGGAAAGACAGGAAAAAGACCCCCTCCTCCCATCCTCCTCTTCCCTCTCTTATGTTTCTAATTTGTCTTTCTCTTTCTCTCAATTTTCTTCTCCTACTTTTTCTGCTCCTATTCCTTCTCTTCTTCCCTTTTGTCTTTCTATCCTTATTTTTTTCTTCACCCTCTCTTCCTTCTCCCTTTTCTCCTTTTGGTTATAGAGTTGATATGTTGAGAATGCTGTGTCCCAACCACGCAACTTTGAAGGGTAGAAAATCCATGTTGGGTCCTCTCGGTGACCCACTCGGCAACGCGGAAAGTCAAAGGAGCGAAGCTGCAGCGCGATCAATGGCACAAAAGCTGAGCGATCCAAGTTGGAGATAAGGTCGGGGCCCGGGCAGCGGGCATCGGGCATGGGTCTGCCCAGTGCCTAGGCAGACCGGCCCAAGAAGGAGCCTGGCCGACGCATGCGCATTCCGCGACCGTGCTTCTTTAATTGTGCGCCGATATGAAATTATTACATCCATTCAACAAATACGGCTCATAAACAATACACACACAATTCACTGATAATCTGTTTCCTCGAGTCCCGTGCCGGGCCGGTCGGCCGCGGCCGGTCGCCGATCCGACCGATTTGAGGAGCTTTGATACGCTCGAGTTACGCATCGGATTTGGATCGCCCAAACCCGCCCAAGAGCCACGTAACTGCAGCCGATGAACACGTTTCGGATACGCGGTTTTTGATGGGAGCGTTGTGGGATGAGCACGACTGGTTATCTGTCAGTGTTGTCGCAGGTGCATCATAAATCGGATGTTCTGATCATGACGTCACTAAAGGCCTCAATACACAATCAAATTTGGGGCCCCGAGCCAATTACCATCAAAGTGTCGGGAGTCATCAGTCTGCAGAAATGTTTCTTGTGACAAGAAATGATGAATGGTGGCACTCCATTCGGATCAAAATTCGACGGTCCGTCCAATTTTGATCAAAAAGGACTGTTCCATGGTGACCATCAGTCATCAACCGGTCTACTTTGATCGGAATTGGTTCGAAATTTGATCGTATATCGAGACCTTTTGTGTTAAAATGAGTGGCAAGGAGGTTCAACATCGCCAAGACCTTATAGAGGACTCTGGTTGCGATTTTCAGAAATGAAGCTTAAGACCTCATCCATGCAGGTTGACCTGATACCGGTTTTTTGATTTTGAAGTTCATCGTTTTTTCAGCCCGTGAGATGACAGATCTTTTTATGGTAGCTCCTTACCCAGCGTTCAAGTCGCCATCTCTTTGCTCGTTAAAGTGTTAAACATTCTGGTACTCACAAATTGATTGCGGTAGATGCTCGAGTCGTTTGAACAATAATTTGATAATGTAGAACGAGTGTCGAATGAGTTTTTTCCCTCTGTATTGAGATTTTTAGCCTGCATAATTCGACGGCGTAAGTCCGCAATCACATATCTCGTTTGCAGTGTCTGAAAGTCTCCGTCTCAATGTTATTTTTTAAAGGAGAACAATTGACATCATTCCTTTAAATTGATGTAGAATTTTCTTCACGCAGAGAAGAAAAATCACGGCAGTTTTAAAGAATTGCCGTTGAGTAGTTTTCCGTTTAAAAAATAAAGTGTGACAGGAAGTCTGCGACGTCGCAAACCGAGTTATGTGATTGCCGACTTACACCGTCGTATTGTAACGCGCGTAGGCTACAATATCAACTTACTGTTAATTTTGGTATTCGTTTTGCGGTTTATAAAGCTCTGTGCTAATAATTAAAGTAACGCAAATTTAAGAAATTTGGAGGGGTTCTTCTCTCAAACATAAAAAGGGAGAAGGGATCTGCCTTAGAGGTTTGGAGTATTTATTTCTTGAATTGTGTAATTTAGTCTCAAAAATATTGAGACTAAATAATGGTCACGAGTCAGAAGGCATCCAACTATACCTCTCTGACTCTTCTTACCTTTTTCTTCTTCTTTCTTCTTACAAAATTGTTCTTCTTGCATGGGTGAAAATTTCACCAACCCTTATGGCAGCCTTGCAATGCCTCCCGTTACAGCGTTTGAATACATTCGATTTTCTACAATAGGTTGAGAAGATGGATGAGTAAACAGAGACCCTGTCTAGAAGTGTTGACTCTCGTATTGGTTCTCATTACTTAGGAGTGCGACGAAAACCCTACATTTGACCTTGACCCAAGGCAATCCCTCCTATCGTGCTCGTGCTAGAGATGTTTCTAACCACACGGGCTGATGAGATGACCCGAGCTACACAGCAACTGCACAAAGGCGACGGTTTACAATAATACGAGCTGTACCTACAAGATCTTAATCTGCTGATGAAAGTTCGTTTCGCTGATAGAGCACGCGCCTGCGCCGAACTCACCGGAATGATCTGATCTGTATCAGCAGATATTTCAACGCGGTGAATAACCTCTCAGTCTCGAATCTATGCCATGCTAGAGCTCGCTGTTTTATTCAGAAATTTTAACCCTTTATTTACTTTTCATCCGGCGGCATTTTCCATTTAAACACATGTATTTTAGCATATTACGTTATTTTGTCATATTTTCTCCAATAATTGTCCAATTTAGAAACCAAGGATATCTTCGTGCTCAGTTTCCCCAGTAATATCATTTTAAAGATGAAAGGCAAAACATCTAAGACACATAATGTAAAATTTAAGACACATGATTATTGTTAATGTGTGATAGTGTTTTGATGTTTACACGGTACCAGAGTCCCTTAGTGCACGTTACGAAGTCATGTGACGCGCCGCGCGCAGAGGTTTATGCAAAATAGAGAATTTGTAGGAGTCTGAAATTTGATGAATTTTGTGTTTCAGTGGAAACTACTGAGTGAACTGCACACGAGGATACTCTTGGTTCATGAATTGAACAATTATTGAAGAAGATATGACAAAATGATCCAATTTTTTAAAACACATGTGTTTAAATGGGAAATGCCGCCTGATGACGTAACTAGGCGATGCATTTTCTCACTTTTAAATCTATTTTTATGCTATTTCCCACATCAAGAAAAAACAAGAAAAAATTATAAAAAATACAGTGCAATCAGCTCTTTAAGCACTTTCAGATGAAGCAATAAAAAATTTGCGTGCGAATTCTCCATTTTCAACTTGTCCATATACCTGTGTTAATCTACCTTGAAGTAGGTCGGTTGTTGCCTAAAAATGTCGCTCACAGGGTTGTTCAACCCCTTCCGTGGAAGCGGCAGCCTCGCTTTCACAGAAACCGTTAGCTAGGTAGACCAAGTTAACGAGGTCCACCCGAAGAACCGGAAATTGAGGAGTGCAGTCCTGCGCGGGAGGGTCGGAAATCAGCCGGAATGACTGGCGGGAAGCCCATCTTCGGTAGCGACACCCACGTCTGGGGCGCGCAGACACAGTGAACTTAGAACTTTCAGCAGACGGGACCGAGACGGAATGTGATGATTTCAACATCTTACTCCTACGCCAGCGCAGTCATACGTTGGCACGGTTGCCTAATTGGTATCGGATCCAGCATGTTGACGGATTCGTTATCGACAGGGCATTGCTTCTATGGCCTAGTTGCGAATTCTCTGATACCTTTCCTGGACTATCCACACCTCGATCTGGGTGCTGTGTGATGAGGCGAAGTCGAGAAGCTGCATAATTTAAAAGGAGATCGGATGCGAAATATCGTGAGATCTTGCGCAGAGCAGCGAAGTTTCTTCTGTAATAACCGAATTTTAATCCAAATTTCTCAGAGTCAAACGGGATTTAAAACCATAGTTCGAAGTTAAACGATAACTATATGTGAAATTGTTTTCGTCAAAATTCGATTGACTGTGACATGTGAGACTGATCAACCTTGGTAACAATCAGAAAAAATGGCCATGATTTGATTGATGCTATTTTGGGTGGGAATTTTTTGAAAAGTCTTGAAGAGTATAACGCGAAAAATTGCACAGACCAGGAAAATTTCAAAGTGATTTACCAAACTGTGGTTTAAATGTTTCGAATTTGACTGAACGTTTGACTAAAATTCGAAATTATGACACAGAGTTATACGAACGAATAAAATCTAAAACTGCATTTCGTATTTCAAGAACGGCCCCCTATTACGAAACTCGAAACACAGTGGTGTCGCCCCTGGTGACGGGATTTCTTACTCCGTAACGCATTTACATTATCCTTTATCTTTACTTTTCTATTACTCGACTTTCCTTGACCTTCGAACATGACTGAAATAATATCTAATAAATAATTCTTAATTTCTTAGTTCGTTTCTTACAAATGAAAGGCCTTGTCCCCGCAGAGATAGGTTTACGGAACTGAACTTTCGCGCGAAGTTCCGTGAACTTTTGCTAGTAGTGTTGACAGGGCTTACGCAAAAAATGTGTCCAACACGAGTGAACGCGTCTTATGCACCCTTCTCCCTCCGGCACGTTTACTTGATGGTTTTTATTGATGTTTCAAAATGAATGAGAAGAGTGCGGCAAAATACAGGAGGCTCATGGGCGGCAAGTAGGTAAATCCGGCCATGGCTTTGTCTATCAATTTCAACAATCAGCCCGCTGGGCGTCGTATTTTCCTGACTTTTCCAGGGCACTGTAATGGAGGGAGATGTTGCGTGTGTGAGAAATTTGCGATTTGACTATTAATTCTTATGTAAAGGTTTGCGGGGAAACACGATGGTCCCACTGATTTTCTCTGATATCAACTCCCAAGCTCAAAAAAAGCTCTCAAAGTTGAGGCTGTAATGGAGGGTATATCCCACGCTATCCTGAGAGTCCCCCTCTACATCAAGACAGACTCTCCATGCAAAAATAGGGAGCAAATACATTAGCCTAGGGCCGCATTTTCAGTTTTGGAGTCCCCAAATAAAGTGGCAGCCCTGTCAATGCATTCTCTCCCTATCTTTGCATGGAGAGTTTACTATGATGTAGAGGTGGACTATCAGGATAGCGTGGGACATCCCCTTCATTACACCCTCAACTTTGAGAGCTTTTTTGAGCTTGGGAGTTGATTTCAAGGAAAACCAATGTCACAATCTTGTTTCTCCCGAAAGTTTTACTTAAGAATCTACAGTCAAATCGCAAATTCCTCACACATGCAACATCTCCATTCCCTGACTTCCCAGGTTTTTCAAACCGCTGCGCCGGTGACCCTGCATTGACTACGTACACTTGGATGTATTTATATCAAACGGACCTAGGCGCCATAGGGTGAGGAAGGTAGAGGGGGGCTTGGATTGGCGGCGGAATCGGGCGTCCGGCTTATTCCGTCCTGCAATGCGTTTCCATGGCGTTTAGGTCCGTTTGACAGAACGCGCTATCCGGGATTCTAAATTCCTCAAAAGGAACACAAATTGGCGCTTAGTTCCGTTTGATAGAAATACGTCCACTTGTGACTATTACGTTACATTATTATAGTACTCTCAAGACGTAGTAAGGTTCAGTGGCGTGGCGTGCTTTGCGATACATCGATTGATACCCCACTCAAACCTATGAAAAAAGATCGATTATCAGGGTGTTCGCAGCGAACACCTAAGTAATCGATTCTTTACCATAGCTTCAAATGGAGAGATATCGATAATCGACCATTCACGCCACGAAAAAGAGCATCCGCGCGGTGTGAACGACCATTTTAATAAAATAGATCGTGAGTTGGAACTTGGGCAATTAGAAAGAAAGAAAAAAGCGTGAAGCACCCGAGTTGGGAGCTTTGATAAGCGGAGAGGGCCGAGGTCTCGCCGCTCCAATCCGAAGAGGATCGATGACTTTTCCGATGGGTCGCGTAAAACCCGGACCCGGATTCGTGACTCCTCCTCTCGGATCACAAATCAAAACCGGGAGATAAAAAAAGGGGAAAAAAGGTTCCTGGATCTGGCGGTTAATCATCCTCGCAGATCCGGCGTCCATTAGACCGCATTAGTGATAAGAGCTGTTTTAAATAATTACATAAGTCGCTCGCTTCCACGTCCTCGGAGGGCGGAGGGTGCAAGCCACCGCGAACTCAGAAACTGCCCAGGCTCCAAAACGAGACCACAGATTCCAGTCACGATACAAACGCGAGACACCCACACAGTTGTCACGTTTAAACATTTTTGCGGCTTCCAAATAAATCAAACTTCACTAGAAAAAAACACATTGGATCTAGAGTCGAGACTCTTAAAAACATCGACAAGAGAAAATACTTTTGATTCAATCAGATTTAAGCTTAAATCAAGAACCTAGCCTCTTAATTTGAGCGGATTTCCTTTTGATTTAAGCTTAAATCTGATTGAATCAAGAGTATTTTTCTCGTCAGTGTTCTCGAGAGCCTGGACTCTAGATCCAATGTGTTTTTTTCCAATGTTTTTCGGCAAATCGCACTCTGCAAACGCAACAAATCTGCTATACTCAACTTTTCCAACCGTTCCTAGTTCTTTTTAGCATAAATACGTTCATTATGATCCCTCAATCATCATATTAGCTGACGGTACCCTGTAAATTGAATGCAATTTGTTTAGTTTTAGTTTTAAACCATGTAGATAGATACAAGGAAATATTAGTAAAAGTTACGTTATATTCAAATAAAATTCCTTCAAAAAAAACAAAAAAAAACCCTGATCCCTCAGAAAATATGTTTGCACAAGCTTCGAAGTTTTTAACGATAGCGTCACAAAATTTGAAAACAAAAAAAATCCGCTTTGATTTGACGAAAACTGAAGAAAACACTCCGGTCGAAATAAAACTAGGTCGCAAGGTAGAGTTGAGTGAGGAGGTGTCGTCGGTTGAGCCTCCCGATTGGAGTCGTCGAACTGACCTACCTAAATGAGAGTGACGTTGAGAAACTTGTATTGACAAACGTGCGCAAGAGGGTGGAAATCTCGATGACATTTGAAGTCAGGAATTGGCTACCACAAAACGCGGCGTCTGAAACAACGGCGTTTAATGACACAAACGTCGCGCCACGTTGCGACGACAGTCTGGCTGTTGCCAAAGACAAACAGCGTGACCGGGAGAAGAAAACTGCCACA